GTTCTGCTCTTCTGACAAAGGCCCAGTCTGGGTGACTCTGTCTTGCTTCACCGTGGTCCACACCAACCTGGCAGGCAAGGGTGTCCCAGGCCTTCTTTTCTACCTGCCTTGGTCCAGGTCTTCTTGTGGGGCATTCTGCCATTGCTGGCAGGACTCAAGCAGGATGTGCTGAGGGCAAGTCTGTGCTTTGGGAACTACACAGGTATAGCGTCCTGGAGGTGGGGATGGGGCCAAGTGGTGAGCCCCCAAAGAGTCTCCTGGGAGCCACAGAAGGCATCAGCCCCTGCACCCTGAATGGAGTCTGGCCCAGGAACATGTACACTGAACCCATTTCTGGTGGCTACAAAGCAGTGATGTTTGGGGACCATTCCAGGGCACCAGCAGTCTATCTTCCACAGAGTGGCCTTGGTGCTCTCTTGGGGGCCCGAGAAGTCAGGGAGCACCCACCCACCATCGGCACTCCTGGGCCCTATTTCACACATTTTATCCCTGCAGTCTGCAAGAGCAGAGGCCAGGCACTCTGTTCATTTATGTATTTTAATTTAGAGTGTGCCTTGCCTCAGCTGCCCTCAGGCTTCTGGCAGCATCCCCCTGCCCCCTGAGCTCTAGCCTGTCCTCTGGCAGGAGCCCTAGGGAGCCCCTCTGTTGTCCAAGAGAAATCCCAAGCCACTCAAGGAGCTTGTGTTTTATTATTTCCCCCAGTTTTAAAAAAAAATCATGTTTGAATTCTAACCCACACATTTCTCATAGGCCCCTCCAGTCAAATGCTGTCCTACTTCTGGGCAGGGCAGGTGGCCTGTCTCACTTGGGTCACAGACTCTCATTGAGAGGGATGTAACTGAGAGCCTGGGCTCCTGCTCTCGACTGGGTTTCAGCACTGCAGATCCACGGAGTCCCCGGTGGGTTTGCGCCACCAGCAGGGTAGTGCCCAGCATTGATTCTGAGGGAGAGAAGACAGGGACTCTGGGATAAAGAACACACCATGGCCAGTGTGCCATATACTGGGAAGTTGCCACACCCTCTGAGACAGTCTCCACAGCTAAGAAGTGGGCACCATGGGGTAGTGAACCACCCCCCTACCACACTGTGGAGCAAGAAGCAGAGAGGAGAGAGGCAGTGGCCCACACTGGGCCTGGCACTGATGCCCCGGGGCCTGGTGGGTCTCAGCTGTAGGTGTCACCCCCATTCAATGGCACTAAGCTTCATGTTGGATTTAGTGACAGCAATAAAAATAGCCGTTCGAAAGTCTTGAATGAAACCACAGGTCAAATCAGGAAAAACAGTGGCCCTTTCCCCTCCTGCAGGTGGCAAAGACCCAGGGAAAATCCCTCTTGTATGTTTTGCTGGGCGTATTTTATTTTGCTTTTGTATTTACCTCCCTGTTTCTAAATAACAGGTTATGTGACGACTTTTTATTTTTAGGCTTTGTACGATATTCATCAACTTTCTACCCTGAAGGAGGAGTCAGTTCTTGTGAGACATCCCCCCACCCGAACACCCCCTTCCCCTGACCATGACGGAGCCTTTCTTCTTTGGAGATGGTGCTGATTGCTGATATTACTGTGTATCTGTGAGTGTCACAAGCATCATTCAGGGCTGAGCTGCGGTGTCCCACGCTTATGGTAGGCGCCCATCACTCTGCACACACTCCACACTCTCCTAGTCCTTCTCCCTGGAGCTGGCTCTGTTGGGGGGCCCAGAGCACTGGTGTCCTTGGGGCCCCCTCACCACTTGGGGCCTTCTCTGCCTGGCGGGTGCCTGTTCCTTCTTGACCACATTCTGGTGGGGGTGTGGAGGCCACATCGGTCTGGAGTCTGTGTGCCGGTTGTGTTTCTATCCCACCCTCACCCCTATGCCACCTGGGGCTGGATGCAGCACCTGCTCACTGATGTTTGGGGGAAACAGCTCTGCCTCGCAGACCCCAGGGCTGCTGCTGAGAAGCAGGCGAGGTGCCAGCCCTGAGCCTGCCCAGAGCTTTGGTGTGCCAGGGGCGTGAGCCTGTCTTCCCCAGTGTGCTAGATTTCTTGGTGGTATCTGGACCTTTCTGCTGTTCTCCCTTTTTTTCTGCTGGAAACATGGACAATTTAATCCGCAGGTTTAGGTCTTTCTGTTCATGCTGAGTTTCATTTATTTCTGTTTTTTTCGGTGTATTTCCTCACTTCCGTTTTCTCTTGTATGTATCTCCCCTGCTAGTTACCACTGACCAGCTGGACTGAGCCTCTGATCTGTACTCTTTTTCCTCCCCAGCTTCTGATCTCCCCTGATTTTCTCTAGAGTCTTCCTTAACTTCACCCCGTTCCTTCTGTTGAGCTTTCCATTGGGTGTGATTTCCCACACTGTCCTCTGGACATTAACCCACCAGCCCTCCGGCCCTCCCCCTCAGGCAGCTCCCCACTTCTTCTAAGGAGTTGGCTCCTGCCAGGATGCACATCCTCAGGGCTCCCAGGGTCCCTAGGGCCCCCAGGGCTCTCCAGGGTCCTCAGTACTCCTGCCTCAATGTTCTCAGGACTCCTCCCTTAGTGTGGATCCTCAGCTCCCCCAAATTCCCAGGGCTTCCCAGGGTCCCCAGAGGTCCCCAGGGCTCTGCCTTTGCATACATCTTCAGGCTGCTTCTTTTCATGGCTCTATGTTGCTGGAACCTGCACATGCAATGGCTCTTACCTGTTCCTCCTCCCATGATTGACAGGACAATTAGCCACCTCTGATTGCCCCTGGGCTTCCCTGGCTTCTGGCCATCTCTTTTCTTTTCAGGTTTACCCTCTGTCTGGCCTCAGGTGTTGTGGTGAGCTGGGCTCTGCATACAGTGGACCCCCTTTCCCTGCCACATGGGCTGGTCCTTCTGTGGCTTTGTGTTCTGGCTCTGCGCTGAGCCCTCCAGATGCCTCTGTCACTCACCCCATTGCCACTGACACCAAACAGGTGCAACAGATACCACTTGGCCGCACTGCGGGCTTGGCCCTGCCGCCAACCCTCCTCACGACGGGCACCCCTCAAAGGGTCCGGGCAATTCTGGAAGTCATAGAGTTCTCTCCCGACCTCTGCTCACCCTGCTGGCCTCCCCCTCAATTTGCTGCTGCTCTCTGGGTTGCCGAGGTAGCAGATATTCGTCCATTGCTGCGCTCCCTGCATCAAACCTCAATCAATTCAACCCCAGAGAATATCAGAGAATATTTGCTTTTTCATTAATTTAATTATATCCCTACCCAATTAAAGGCACCTGAGGTTTTACCTTCCCAAGGCCTGAGAGCCCCATTGAGGACCTGCTGCTTCCCCCTTCCCCTCACTGTCCCAGCTCACAGCATCCCAGTGGCTCCTCATGCTTCCGGCTTTGAGAAACACCCCTCAGAGCCTCCCATGCTGGCCAGCGGGGGTGCCCCAGAGCTCCACAGACAAGACTTGGATAGCACAAGCCTCCCTCTGACCTGGAGGCTAGGTGAGAGATTGCGGGGAGCAGGGCAAGTGGTGTCTCGGCCTATCTCACGTGGTTGTCCTTCTGTGTGTCTGTGTACAATTGTCACTCTTTATGAGAACCCTGGTCACATGAGACGGGGGTCACCCTAGTGACCTTGGCTTACCTCAATCCCCTCCACTCACAGTCATAGAGGGATGTGGGGAGGCCCATGGCACCTCTCTCACTGCCCTGGGTGTCCTCTATCCCCTGACAGGCTGCTGCAGGCAGTGGTCTTGTGCGTGATTAATTTCTCTCCATCATGCTGGTGTAATGAAGACAGAGCCTTGTCCGGGTCACCTCTGCACCCCAGCCTGGCACATAACTGGTGTACAATGTGTCTGCCTTAAAGGACAGGTGAATGAATGAAGGGCCTTGGAAAGCAGATGGGGTAATAAGGATGAGCTCCCCGAGTCTGATTTCTAGGGGCTCCTGGGCTGTGTGACATTGTTCAGGTGGCAGCCTGAGACAGGGGCTCCAGGGCCCCTCTGGTATGCTCAGGCCAACAGCTCCTCTGCACCACCCTGGGCTTGAACCCAGCCCTTGAACCCGGTTCTGCTTCAGTCTCACTCTCAGTGTTGGGGGCGATGGAGACGAAAGCACCTTGCATGCCTGACCCCCATCTCTCTAGCCCCTCCCTGGGAAGAAAGGGGGAAGGTGGTGGGAGCCCTTGGGGAGGAGAGCTGGGAGAGGCGGAGGAAGTGTGCCAGCCAGTTCCGGGGTGTGTGTGAAGCCAGTCCAGCTGGGAGGTGGCAGGAAGGGGGCCCCAGCCACACAGCGAGCCAACCCCTGGGAACTTGGGCCCTGTACAGAGACAGAGCCACTAGAGATAGCTCTCGAGGAATACTTTATCACATTGCCTGTTTATTTCCTTTGGTGATTTGTCCTAGTCTGACAATCTCCTTAGGTTTGGTTGTGCAGGAAGCCTGCCTCATCCTGAGCTTAGTTAAGCCTGGGGGCTAGGGTCAAGGCTGGGGCCTCTGCACCCTATTGGGCTAATGGCGTTTTTTCCACTAGCTTTGCCATTCCAGGGACCTAAACTGACTTACAGGCTAAGTGACTTTGCCCATCTATAAAATGAAGGAAATAAAATTGACCTTGTTTTGCTTTAGAGACCAGTAATGATTTATATGGATTGTTTTGCAGGGGGCCTGGTGCACACAAAGTGATCACAATGGGACGACGTGGACCCCATGACCAGGAGGCTGTGACTCCAGCGCTCTGACCCCAGGGACTCTCGTGCTTCTAGAATGCTCAGGTCTGCAGTACGCCCCCAGCCACAAGCTCTCCGTGGAGCCCCTGCTGCCCCCTGCTTGGCTCCTGCTAGGCACCTTGTGGGGCCTAGAGAGCTCAGGCCTGGTCAGCCTGCTCACTGGGCTCAGTGGGATGCTCCCTCCCCGGCCCCAGCCGGCCTTGGGCTCTAGCCACCATGGGCAGCTGGAAACCAGGGGCCCAAGTACATCTGGTGCCAGGACTTGCTCTTGCAGAGGGTGAGTGGGCAGGCAGCCAAGCGTCAGGGTCTGAGGGCCCCACCCCAGTGTGGCCGCCAACACACACTTGCCATATCTTTATTGCACATTTACCACATTGCAAACTATTCCACAAAAATGCTGCAGAGGCAAACCTACTACTCACTGTGCAGTGGACCCTGTGTGACGTGATTACACCGCTGTCCAAAGGGAAGTCAGAGGCTGCTGGTTGCAAGAGATGAGTAGAATAACTGGTCATTACATCATCTGGAACCCACATTTGTGGATTCGGCCATAACACACAGGCCTAATGTCCCTTGGGAGCCACCTCCCGCCTGCAGACAAGACCCTCCAGCCCTCTGAGTGCTGAGGCTCTGGGACGGAGAAGAGTCGTCTTTATTTTAAATCAGGTCCAGAGTGTGAAAGCACTAACAGCTAGATGTGTCCGAGAGGGAAGGACAGCCCTCCTGTTAGCTGGGTAGGTGATCTGTGTCTGTGTGTATGCCTGTTTATACGCATATCCACTTTATATAAATACAAAACAGTAAATGAAGGCTTTCTTTCCCTACAAATAGGACAGAGCACCCCCACCACAGCTGCCTCTGTCCGTGAGCACAGATAGTACTTCCTTCCCAACATGTTCTGGGTTCAAAAACTAACACAACACGTCCTATCAGACCCTCAGTGGAACGAATTCAGCCTTCCGGGGCCGCAGTTCACAACCTGGGGACCATTGGTCTGTCCAGTCTCTGAATTCACTGAATTCACGATGTGGTACATGGGGTCCCCTGAGCCCCGGCTCCCTCCTCATCTTGTCCAGGCAGGCAAAGTGGCAGTGGCAGGTCACTACCTTGCAGAAGAGACTCTGTGCTCGGTGTCCAGATCGTCCTCCACCACACTGTGGAGTCCGTCCCTCTCAATGCAGTCCCGGATGGCCTGCAGCACAACGCGTAGCCGCCGGTCCAGAGCCTCCAAGTGCAGCCGGTATAGGACGGGCGCCACCCGGTCCTTCTGCAGAGACTCTGCCATGAGCAGGCTCAGCTTGTACTCCTCCCGGGCCAGCAGCTGAAGACGCAGGTAGGTAGACTTCCTGATCCTGGGGAGGAGAGAGGGAAGATGCATGGCCATGGGAAATGAGAGGGAAAGGAAGAGGAGGAGAGGGGGAGATGGGGAGGAGGAGAGGGGGAGCCGGGGAGGGAGGGGAGAGAAGAGAAGGGAGACAGAAAGACTGAGGTAGACAGGGAGGGAGGGAGAGATGGGGAGAGAAACAGAGACACACAGAGCTGTGGGACCTACTCGGGCCTGCCTCTTGCCTGCATGAGGGATTAGGGTGCTGCTCTGCAGGGAACAGGTAGCCTATGTACCACCCCGAGGGGCCAGAAGAAGGAGTGAGGATGATGCCTGCTCACCTAGGAGACTGTCCCTAGCCTGGGTTTTCTGTCCGGCAGGTGTCTCCTTAGAGATCACAAACCGGGTGTCTTGCAACCCTGTGTCCCCAGCCCAGTGGGGGGAAGCTGGGTCAGGGAGCCCCTCAGAAGGCAGCGGAGAGCAGAATCTGGTGGCTGTGCCAGGATGGCAGGATCTTTGGGTGTCTTCCCTGCATATGGACAGACAGGACTGTCCTGGAGTCTGCGGGATGGACTGGGGCACATGAGCCTCATGAAAGGGGTGAAGGCGCCTTTCTTCTCTTGGTGTGATGGCTGGGGTGGGGCAGGGGCTGGTTGGCAGGGTGGAGGCTGGGGGCCGGGCCAAGGCCAAGAGGGCTGTACCTGCAGCACTGCTGCAAGGGCACCAGGATGGACAGCTCGTCATGTGAGTACTTCCCAAACCTGCCAAGACAGAAGCAGAGTCAGAAGGGTGCAGCCAGGCAGCATATCCAGCCCAGCTCTAGATGTGGGGTTCTGACCATTTGTCTGAGATAAAACATACAAAGGAAGGGTCCTAAGCAGCTGTGTCCAGACAGCATGAAAGGTGTCAGCCCATGTTAGCCATAGTAACCTCTCTTAAGCGGGCCACACGGTGGCCTAGGCGTAAACTATCCAGGTGTCTGAAGCTGACAGTTCTTAGGCATCTGAGCCCTACATGTATGTCCTCCTGCCTGGTTTACTCACTTGCCTGCTTTGTTAATTGGAACCATCAGGCTCTCAGGATACAGCCCAGGACTGCCTAGAAGAGGCTGCAGGCAGGGGCAGGGAGGACATTTGTCCATGGCTATCAGGTTGCAAGTCCCATGTGCAGGTAGAGGCCCCCTCTGCCCAGCTCAGCCCTGCTCTTCTGAGCCACCAGCTTCTCCAGGCCTCCGTTTCCCCAGGGTTACTGTGAGGGTCCATTCCTAGGTGGCCCTCCCTGCATCTCACATTGAGAGGGTCCTCTGGAGCTGTGCATGCCCCTTTCTGCTGAGGCCTGTTCCTCCCACTTCTGGACAAGGTAGTGGCCAGCTTCTCACTGGGTCTGCAAGAGCAGGAACACTTACCCCCTTCCATTGTCCAAGTGGATGATGAATGTCTCATTCCCAAACTTCTCAAACGTCTCATAGTGGTGGCGGTCCATGTTTCCTGTGGGGAAAAGCAGGGTTGCAGCTCAAGAGGCCTCAGCTCTCTGAAAAGCAGTATCTTCCCTCCTTCCCAAAACATAACCATAAAAGCAGGAACCCCACCCTTCCCCCTGGGAACACAGGACCATGCTGGGCCAGCCAGGCAGCATGCCCACCACAGAGCCTGGGGTGTCACCCGGTCCATGCAGGTCCATGGGAGCCCTTGCGCCTTGCATTTGATGGGTGGCCAGCGTGGTCACAGGACATACCCATGAGGAAGTCAAAAATGGTCATGTCCATGATGTCCAGGACGCGGTGGCTGCTGTCGTAGGGAGGCGTCTGCTTCACTTCCTCACAGTAGTCTGGGTCCACTTCCCACCTGCAAGGAGCTGCATGAGGCTCTTGCACCAGGCAGCACAGAGCCTGCACCTTCTCTTCCACCTTCCCGCTGTGGCCACTGGTGATTCTCTCCTGTCCCTGTTCCCCATTGCAGAGGGACAGAGCCTGGCCCTCCTGGGGCCCCCACGGTCCCCACACTCACTCGGCCTTCTTGCGCTTGTGGTAGGAGCGCCGCCAGGGGTTCCGCCATGTCTTCCTCTTGGCCAGGGACAGGTCAGGCAGGAAGGCTGCCAGCGAGCCCTCGATCTGGTCTGGCTTCCCACACAGGGCGTGCTCGGTGGAGCAGTAGTAGGAACACTCCCCGTAGAAGCAGATATTGTTGGCTGTAGGGCAGACTGCTGGTCAGTTAGGTCACTGGGGCCACTCAGGGCAGCCCCTCCCCAGATCTTCTGTCAGGCCAGGGCTCATTTGCTAATGTCATCCCATATTCTGCCAAGGCCCTGTGGTACCCACCCCATGTGCTCTCTTCGGGTTCTGCTACCCTCATGCTCTCCCAGGGCTCTGCCTGGCATTTCTCAGGTCAGGCCCTGCCCAGAGCTCTCACATCGATCTTAACAAACACCACCAATCTGGGTTGCAGAAGACGAAGCCCTGCATAGCAGGCCCCTCAGGGTCACTCCACTACAAAGAGGCAGAGCTGGGCCTGAGCCCTGCTTTTTCTACTTACCCCCAAAATTCAGGGATTAGAATCTAAGGAAATTCTAGAGTTAGTATGTAATACCTTAAAAATGACAGTATAAAGAATATGAAGGGACAGCCCACAGACTAGGGGAAAACATATGTAAGTCATACATGCTCTGACAATTAAGTTCCTGAAAAAAGTGCTTCATACATCACTGTTGAATATCACTACAGTCACCTTTGAAGTATTCTCCTTGGGAGCTATGCACTGACACCAGTGCCTACTCCATCCTTCCAAGCAATCTTGGAACTCTTTTTCTGGAATGGCTATCAGAACTGTTAGAGCTCTTATCATATTACCTTGAGGTATTGAATGTCGTCAAAATGTCTCCTTTCAGCATTTTATTTGTCTTTGAGTAAAGAAAAAAGCCACTAGGGGCCAGATGAGGTGAGTAGGGAGGGTGTTCCAATATAGTTATTTCTTTACTGGCTAAAAAGTGCCTCACAGACAGTGCTGTGAGAGCTGGTGCATTGTTGTGATGCAAGAGCCATGAGTTGCTAGCAAAAAGTTCAGGTTATTTTCATCTAACTTTTTTTCATATAGTCTTTTCAGCACCTCCAAATAGTAAACTTGATTAACCATTTCTCCATTTGGTACAAATTCATAATGAATAATCCCTTTGATATCAAAAAAAGTTTGCAATATCATTTTAACTCTTAATTTGGACTGACAGAACTATTTTTGGTTGTGGAGAATTGGCTGACTTCCATTGTGCACTTTGATGCTCTGTTTCAAGGTCATATTAGTATACCCATGTTCTATCACCAGTGATCACATGGCCTCAAACCTGGTCTTGCTTCTCCAAAAGGTCTTGGCAAACTTTGACTTTCCTTTGCTTTGTTCATTGGTGAGCTTCTTTAGGACCACTTTTGTATGTACCTTTCTTATGCCAAGATTTTGAGTTAAGATTTTCCTGTTTCTCTATCTCTGTTTACTTGGTCTACTATGCTTCTCACAGTTAACTGAAGATTCTCATGCACAATTTGATGAAGTTTTACAATGTTTTCATCAGTTCTGATTATTATTGGTTGCCTTGACCTCAGTTAATCAGTGTTCATCAGTGACACTTTCCCCTCAGAAAAATGTTTAATCCACTTCTACACTGATGTTTTCTTCATGGCATTATCCCCTTAAATGTGGACTAACACGTCCCTGATTTTACTTTCACTCTTGCCAAGTTTAACAAGAAATTTAATGTTTGATCGTTGCCCTAATCCAAACTCTGACATTCTCACAACAACACAAAAACACAACACAAAAAATATACAAAAATAATGAACACCACACAGCAAGACACCACCACATGTCAACCACCAACACAGCTGTGAGATGCTGATATGCTAAGGGTTGTAAACCCTTACCAAGTTGTTTGCATAGTGCTGCCAACCTACGTGCACAGTGCCAAGTTCATGAACTTAATTGTCAGACCTCATATATCTGATGAGCCTCTAGCATTCAGAATAGATGAAGAATCCTTACAATTTAATCATAATAAATAGCCCAATTAATGAATGGGCAAAGGACTTGGAATAGATGTTTCAAAGACAAATAAATGGCCAAAAAGCTCATGAAAAGACACTTGACACACCGTCAGTCACCAGGGAAATCCAAATCAAATTCACTAAGAGAGAGCACTTCACACCTGCTAGGGGGGTTTTGATTAAAAGATAACATAGCAAGCACTGATGAAGATGTGGAGAAACTGGAACCTTGTGTGCTGCGGGTGGGAATGGAGAATGGTGCACCTGTTTTGGAAAACAGGAAACATACAGCTACCTGAGGACCCAGAAACCCCACTGCTCAGAATCTACCAAAGAGAACTGAAAACTGTGTCCACACAAAAACTTGTACCTCAACACTTGTGGCAACACTACTCACAACAGCCAGAAAAGAGAAACAACCCAATGTCTCCCAACAGATGAGTGGATAAAGTAAATGTGGCATCTCCTCACCAGGGAATATTTTTCAACCATAATAAGGAACAAAGCTCTGACACACGCTACAGAGAGGATGAACCTTGTGGACCTTGTGCTCATAGAAAGAAGCCCTATAGTAAAGACCACGTAACGTGTGATTCCACTTATATGAAGTGTCCAGAACAGGCGAAGCCAGAGAGACAGAAAGAAAGTAGATTTGAGTTGCCAGGGGATTGGGGAGGGGAGATTGGGAGTGTCAGGGTTCCTTTTGGGGGTGAAGAAAATGTTCTTGATTAGATAGTGGGGATGACTGTACAACATTGTGAATATACTAAAACCCAATGAATTGTACACTTCTTAAAGTGATGGATTTTATGGTACATGAATGACATCTTAATAAAAAAGAATAATTTAAAAAATGCAAGCCCCCTGCTGTCTAGGTCTATGGAAAGCTAGAGTTGGCCCTGCCGGTGGCTTCCTCTGCTGACAGACACTTTTACTCATGTATGTATGCACCAATCCATGTTGTCAGGCATGTTTGCACACACAGTCTCCCTCACCCATGTGCACAGACAGAGGTGGAGCCCCCAGGCCACAGAGAAGACCCCCATGGGACCAGGAGGCTCAGGGAGTGGCCAGTCCAAGCTGCTCTTTCATGGATGGCAAGCTGAGTCCAGAAAGGGACTCTGCCTGTCTCTCGCCATAGTCCTCAGCTCAATCTGATCTCTTGCCAGCTGCAAAGTAAGTTTGTTCATTACAATAGTCTCCCTGTCCTCACTCATGCTGGTTACAGATGGTATCATGTTAAAAGAGAAAGGTATTTCACTGGCCATAGCCTTTTCCTCATCAGCAATCTGAATCTGGTTTTTTTTTTTTTTTTTTTTTT